TTCCTTTTTTGTTTATTATTTAATTATTTAATGTGATAAATAGATAGTTACAATTTTACCCTTTTAAAATTGATTAAAATGTGGTCAAAATCAATTATTTGAGTCAATGACGATATTTTGGATGGAAACCGTCTAAAATGGTCTCACCTGCAACGTTTCAAAAGGTTAGGGAAGACAACCGCAACAAATCAAATATTTTGGAAAAGTATGCCATTATTTTAACGATTTGGGGTTTTTACTGCAATTATTCCTAAAATAAATTTAATATATACGTTCCAAAAATGATACTTTCTATTCAATGCAGCCGACGTCGTGAAGAACGTGACAATACTAGTCAGTCTTTGTTTGATGTCCATTTCTACACCATCTTCTCACTTCTTGACACTCCCTATCCTAATATGCATTTTTATTTATTTTTCAAGATAATGTCACCATCATTCAATTTTTTTTTTTAAATAACAGCCCATGTTTGGCCCTCATTATTTGAAATCTTAATAGATAAAATAGCATTTAAAAAAAATAAAAAAATAAATATATATATATACAAGTAGATTAATTCTAAAAAAAAATAGATGGTGTTTAAATAAATTTCTTTTCATTTTAAGCTCCCAAGAACTTCGTCACGCTAATGTGGCGAAGAAAAAGTAGACATTGTTTAGAGTTCTCCTAGATTGGAAGTTTCATTAAACATTATTGGTTCAACAATATTTAAGTTTCTATGTAATTTTGTTGTTATTTTAAGAAAATAAACAACGCCCAAATAACAATTCATATAATGCATTGAAGATCAATTTTGAATTTGAGCTTCTATTAATCAATGTCGCATAAATTACAAGCCTGCCACCTAAAATTCCACAAATACATTCGAGATGCTCTAAGAAAGAGAATCTCAACCCATAAACTAAAGAGTTATTTGAAATTTTTATTGAACAATAGAGTACATAAACAATGAGCAATTTCCATAGATGGTCACTGGAGCTGAAGCAAAATTTTAAATTGATCTCTAAAGTATTTTCAACCTATTTACCCGTGAAAGTTTAAATAATATTACATAATTGATCACTATATCGTTCTTACTAACGACATACCCCATATAGCGACCGTTACACCTTGTCGTGGATCAGCCACTATTAAAATGGCATTTTCCTTCTGACTTACCTCATATTTCAATTTTATCATGACCTTTTCGCTATTCAATAATGGTGAAAAGTAGGGTTTTTCCATTCTAAAATTGCATCTTGTTTTGAAGATCTGTGATTTCATTAGACAATGTCAAGATTTAAAGAGGTCGCATTCGATCTAAAGTGAATGCCGCATACATAGGGAATAGTTAAGTATCGAAATATAACTTTAAACATCATTATAAGAAAATACGAGTTGATATAAAGTTTTATTAATAATAGACATATAATTAAAAATGTAAGTTTACAAATACGCCGTTTAAGACGTAGAAACTGTGGAGTTAAAAATAAACAAATATTTTTTACTTTTTTAAAAGCGGTTTAGACTATTTTACTAGTCGTGTTCGTGTATAGATAAGCATGTGGAATTGAAAAATGTATCCATCCCTTTCAGTCCATTCTTCTCTTTTATTCACGTTTATTTCAACTAATAAAGCCATTGCCGAGTCATAATTTTCAAAACCGCGTTCTTTGTTGTCAAAGAAATCTTAATTCCTTTCAATTGTATGAACACCATTAAAATATCTTCTCATTAGTGGTTAGCTTTGAAATAAAGCTTTTACTTTACGAGAATTCCAATCGACCGGGACCACGACTCAAGAGTGAATGGGGGAAAAATATTTCTCCTTTTCCCACTTTTTCTTTAATATTGTTGTGCCCTCCGTTATGCTATGTATGAATACAAATTGTATCCTGAAAATTTATAGATTCAAGGTGATGATCGTGTCATTTTTGCCATGTTCACTCTAGGGTTGTCACTTTTGAGATTGATTAAATCACATCGAGTTATCCAACTTCAATAGACTAGACATTTCCCTATGTGGTGATGAAGGAGAACGGGGGAGAGCTCAACCTCGACTAGCACTTTTTCCTCAAACAATTCACACAAAAGGTTTGAGATTGATTGTACTATTTCCTCACTATGTAAGCAATAAGCCTATGTTTGGCAAAGTTAAATAATTTATAAATGATCAAACTTCATTTTTAACCATACATTTTAATAAATTAACAACTACTATCCACTTATTCATTATTTTTGTTTATTTATTTATAAATTAAATCGTTTGTTAATTCTTTCCAAACAGAGGGTTAATAGTATCATATTGAGACGTGATGATCTCCAAAATTTTGATAAGACGATTGGAAATGAAAATCATATCCACATGCAATAGGGATTCATGATGAGAAAACTATAACAAAATTGAGAGAATAACAAAAGAGAATTGATATAGTCAAAACTCAAATTATAACAACAGTATATTCTCTCTAATTTAATTACTTGATTAATTATTTAAATAAAAACTGATTAATGTAAGAACAAAACCAAAATGACTTGTAATCAAAATCGATCAAGACTGTAACCTTTACTAATGCTACAAATTAATTAATTAAACCAAAAACGTATATAACTAATGAGGGAATCGATGACCCAATCCCAGCCATGGCTCGCCTTTAGCCGGCTTCGATGGCGCCGTTGCTTGGTATGGTGCGTTTGCAATGGCCCTGTAATAACACAACCGCCTCAATTAAATTCCGTCGGGAAAAAGAAAAATACATGGCTATAATTTTCTACTTTTCTGAATTGCTACCTTTCTTTTCGTTTATCCAAGAACCGGGATATTGAATTTTTCCTTGCAATAGGCAAATCTGGAAACCAAAACAAATTATATATATAAGATTAACTCACCCAAAATTGAAAAAATGAAAAGAAAAAAAAATTCGAATTTATCTCATTTGGGGTTTACCTGAAGCAAGAGGTGGCGCGACCGGAGTGGGGACAATATTGGTGGCAGATTCAGCTGGACTTTGGACCATATTAGACGGCGGAAGCGATGGAAGTGGCGGAGGGAAGGCGGTGGTGGAGTAATTTTGGGCACTTGAATTGCTTGCTAATATCATTATTTCCTTGGCTTTGTCTGCCGGAAAATCATCAAAAACTATCACTTCACCGGCGTAAAAGATTGTCATCTGTGCCGTTTCTTGCTCAGATTTTTTCACCGCCATGTTAAGATCAGCTCCCGAGTTCTCAATCATCGGCAGCAAATTCATTGTGTCGGTCGGAGCAGTTCCTGTGGAATTAAGTAAACTTTAGTTAAGAACGAAAAAGGGATCTAAGAAACCAAATCTAAAAGTAAACCAAAAAAGGGAAAAAAATAAAAAAAAATGAAGAAAATACTTTTTGGTTCAAAATTCTGAGTGAGGCCAAGGCTGAGTTCCCCAAAGCTACCGTTTTCTTTCAAATACTGACTCAACCGACTGCATGTTTGCGAGAAGTTTGATCTCTTGACGGGAAACTTACCGGAATCAACATTTTCCGACGAACCCATTTTAAATCTGGCCAGCAAAAATCAAATACTGATAAAAAATCAATGGTTAGAGAACTTAAAAAGGCATTTACTTTCGGTTTATGCCATGAATGAAGTCTTAAAATTTATAAAGGAATTATGGTTTTTGAGGCAGAGAAAAGGCACGAGGAATATGTGGGTTTTTAAGAATTGGACTTGTATAAGCAGACGCTGCAGACCTTGACTCCTTTTATTTATCATAATAGTCGTCGGAGGAAATTACACATTTACCTGATTTTAAAATAGCATTTTCATGAATCAGATATTTAGTTTCATATACAAAAATCAGATTTTAATTAAAGATTTTAATTATTAATTATACATTTTTCATCCCCAATTTTTTCTCCACCTTCTTTATTCTCACCGTCGCTCTCTCTGCCTCTTCTTCTCTCCGTCTCTTTACCGCCAATCACCCCATTCCATCGCCAATCACCCCCATCCCCCCCCCCAAAACCCAATAATGCTACTCCAACAAAGTTGGATGACAAAGTGGAATGACAAAGTGACGTGCAGGGCTAGGATTAAAAGTGAACGAATGGTTGTGATTTGCTTACATTGATAAATGAAAATTAAGCGCCAAACCCACGATTGGATGGAGGAAAAGAGGACAACATCAAGGGAAACGAAGGCGTGAAACCAATCTCTCTCTCCCATTTTCCATTATAGCGAATCTTACACACCCACACCTTTCTCTTGTAGAAGAAAGGCGAGAAACCCAGCAATAAGTCTACAATAATCTGATCTCCATCTCTTTGAGAATCGTGCAGCTTCGATAGTGAAGTCTGAACCACATCTCCGGCAATCCCTTGACGCGTCTGTTCATCCTCCGTAAGGTACCTTCCATTAAATTGCAGCTATCAAATGTTTGTGTATGTTGAGGCGAGAAACCCTGCAATATTGTCAAAGTCTGAATTTTTGGCCTCTGATAATCGTGCAGCTTCGACAGTGAACAACGATCCCCATCTCCGGTAGTCTATACATCCTCCGTAAAGGTATATTCCATGAAATTGCAGCTATGAAATGTTTGGGTATGCTGTCAATTTTTCATATAGACGAAAGTTTTGATCTGAGTTTCATCAGACTGCAGCTACCTTAATGTTAGGCATGCTATTGATTTTTCATTAAGAAAAATGTATTGAAGTGAGTTTGATTGTTAGTTCCCTATAGTTATAAAATAATAATGTATCATTCGTTCAGCTGCACTATTTGTTGAAGTGAGTTTAATTGTTATTGTAAAATGACAGAGGCTTTGTTTTTCAGGGGCTCTATTGAAGCAATTATGTGAAGCCTGCGATTTATTCTTGAAGCATTGTTGTAGCATAATTGGGTAGGTATTGCCCTGCTCTTTACTGCTGAATAATAACAGCTATACACTTCTATTTTAGGAGGTTGCACTTAGAATGTGAATGGTGGATGTGACTGTAATTTTTTCTTCAAGGTTTTTTTGTGGAATGAATTTCGAAACTTTGTTATGGATCAAGATTATATATGTGCTTGAATGACTATAAACTAGTGCGTAACTTAGAGCATTGCAATGTATGGATTCATTCTTACAACCAACAAGCAAAAAAATATAGACATAATTGGGAATGAAATATCATACATAACTGGGAATTCACATACACTAAACAGATGATTACAACAGCCGCCTACTTCCTATACAACATCACCAAAAAATTACACCCTTAATCTTCAAATACTATGTCGTGTCCTTCCCCATCGTTTCTCGTTCAGCAGGTGGTTTTCCATGGCGTACAGTCACGTTCACGTTCACAAAGATCAACAATTCTTCATCGTTATTAAGCCGCACTTGAGATTCGAACGTTCGAGACATATCGTCAACTTCTGTCTGCGTCGTTTGTTTAGCCAAAGTAGCGTTGACGTTACTAGATTCCCCACCTACTTCTCCATTTTTGCACCAGTCCAAGAACCCACATTTCTGACTGCAACATTTGAAGAATTTGCCTTTGTTCGGAGTGTCCCTTTCAACAACAAAAAACTTCTGAAATCCACGTGTACAATCTGGGCATCGACGTTTAATCGGGCAATCGCCAAAGAAGTGTCCTATGCCCCTGCAGCCATGGCAAACTCCGGAGTTCTTTCCCGGCATTCTATCATAACAGTAACACATGAAATGCTCAAAAATTGAAGCATAAACTAGTGGAAACATGAAACAATAATATAACAGAGGCCAAACAACTATCCATTTCATGAAAACAGAGGCCAAAACACAATCCATTTCAATGAAAACAGAGGCCAAAACACAATCCATTATGAAATTTGTTCATTATGAAATTGGTTAAGGACAACGCAGAACTGAAATTCACAATCAAATTCACACTGAAAGCACCATGAAAGCAAGGCAAAACTCAAATTCACAAGGCAAGACTCAAATTCACATTGAAATAGTCAACTCCGGACAGTAACACCACATTTCTCTACACGCAAGTGAAAACTCAATTTCACACTGAAAGCACCACTCCGGACAATAACGCCAAATTTCTCAACACGCAAGTCAAAACTGAAATTCAAACTCAAAGCCCCAAAAATTTGAAACCCCAATTAGTATTTCACAATAATTCCCTAAAAATCGACAATTTCCTAACAAATTGTGATTAATAAGCCATACCTCACAATAATTCCTAAAACAGTGACGGCGACGTGTAGAGACTGGCGCTGGAGCGGCTGCTGGAGCTCGGAGTTCCGATTTAGGAATTTATTCTTCACTTGTTTGAACCGGGACGAAGAATTATTTTTGATTTGACCATTTATTCATGTCGTGGGAGACGTGGGAGAACCAGAACGAATGGAAGAGAGAGTTCAGAGAACGACTTCAATTTCAAATTTCATACGTTCGGCCACCGTCGTTGAGCAGCTGTCGGAGCTGTCTCTCGACTTTGGAAAGAAAACGGGTTCTCCAAATGGTAGCATAAACTGGGAGGAAGAGAAGAATGAATAATGGAAGAGAGAGAGAGAGAGAGAGAGAGAGAGAGCACTTTGTATTTTCAAAATTTGAATTTTCATTTTAAACAAATAGCAAATTATAGCCGTCCATTCACTTTTAATCCTAGCCCTACACGTCACTTTGTCATTCCACTTTGTCATCCAACTTTGTTGGAGTAGCATTATTGTTCCCCCCAAACCTGTTATCTGGTACTTCAACCAGTCATGCTACTGCGGATTGTGGATTTGAAGTTGGTGGATTATGGATTGCAGATCTGAAGTCGTGCTACTGCGGATTGCGAATTTTTTATCACGATGATTAGTGGTGGTGGTAATGCGGCGGATTGTGGATCTGAAGGTGGTGGCGGTAGTGGTTGTTTTTGTGCGGTTGTGGGTGGTGGAGTTGGGCGTGTTGTTGTGTGTGTGCTGATCTGTGTGTTTTGTGTGTGATTTGTGTGTTCTGTATTGTTTTGGCGGTGGTGGCGATGGAGAATGGGGATGGTGATGATTGTTTGTGTGGTTGCGGGTGATGGAGGTGGGCGATCTGTGGGTATGTGTGCTGATATGTGTGTGTTCTGTGATGTTTTGGCGGTGGTGGGAACTGAGGTCACCGGTGGTACGGTGGAGGTGTGCATTACGTTGCAGTGCAGTGGTGGTGTTTAACGGCCAGTGCTGTGTGCGGTGTCGTGACGATGGTGGTGGTGGGATGAGATGGACGTGGGTGTGACCAATTATTTGGTTGATTGTGACCAATAATTGGTTAATTTTTGACAAATTAATAATGTGTGACCTAAAAATTGTGACTGTGACTCACATTTTATTAAGTTATAATCGAGTTATGACCAATAAAAGTAATCCGTGACATATAATTTGATATTTTGTGACCATAAAATAAGTTGTGTGACTTATAAATTTTGTGATTTGTGACCGATGAATAAATTGTGACTTTTAAATTTTTAATTTGTGACCGATAAATGAACTGTGACCTATAAATATTTTGAATTGTGACCTTAAAATTTTTGAATTGTGACCAAATTGTATAGATCTGTGACGTTTATATATTTATTCATAAAATATATAATTAATTAATTAAATTATAAATAAATTTTAATAAAAACCTGATTTTTGAAATGTAAAATCTCTATCCTTAATTTTGAAATGTTGATACTTAAATACCTTATTTANCCAACCCGACCGGGTTGGGTCGGTTTTTTGATTTTTTTAGGTGGGTTTCGGGTTGTGGGTTACGCTATCGGGTCGGGTTGGGTCGGGTTGTGGGTTAAGCGAGATAACCCGGTAGAACCCAAACCAACCCAACCCGACCAACTTTAAAAAAATAATAATAATAAATAATAAATAAAAGGAAAGGAAAGAAGGAAGCCCTAGAATTTTCATTTCTTCTGTTCTTCTCGATCTAGTTCCGTCTCTGTGCTCTCGCCGCACACTCTCACAGAAGCACGAAAGTAATTGCTATTCATGCTACGTTTGTAACTTGTAAGTAATTGCTCTTGTGCTATTCTCAATCTGAGTATTTTTAGCATACTTTGATTGTCAGCTCAAGTAAAGGTGCTTCTTCTCTTTTCTTTTTTTTTTCTTGTTTTGCAGGGATGGCCTTTGAAGTATTTGAGTGGGGGGTGAGCAGTGAGCACACAGGCATGGAGGAAGTGATTTGGTTTGGGTTGGGTTGTAAACGATGAGTTACTGTATTCTTCTATTGTGTCTGCAAACAGAAACACTTGTTTTATATAATCTGTTTTTTATTAGCCTCTCCCCCCCTCTAATTAGTTTGGTGCATAATTTCTTCAATGTTATCTCTTTAGCTTCTATTAGCTATTGTTTGAGAAAATTGAGGTTGCTAAAGTCTTGCACTAACACTTGTTGCTGCCGTGGCAGCTCAGCAGCATAGGGGAAGAGATGTTAGGCAAATAGAGAGAGCGACGGGATGGGAAAGAGGCAGAGAATGCGTACACCACTCGGGGGATTTGTTGTGTTCGACTTATTCATGGTTTTGTTCTTCACTAATTTTTTTATTTTTATGT